GGAGTGCCGCCGCGCTCCCAAGCGGCGCACTGTAGCAGTGCGCCACCGGGCCGGCCCTTGAATAACTATTTTAAGAATTAAAGTTAACATACATATGTAAAACGCCTAGCACAAGGTATTTCAGCAAATGATATAAATGACTGTTAATATGTTCAGACATTTGATAAAGGAATTTAATCTGAAATCATGCCAAATATACACCCATCTGAAACATGGTGACAACTTTTAAATAAGTTTTCTCATTTTTCCCTTATACCTACGAATAAGTGAATTATATCTATATTCCTTAATATCTGATTGCTGATAAACACTATTTTGTACTGTGTGGTAGTGTGAAGAGAACAGTAGAAGGAAAAAGAAGAAATAACACAATAAAATAATGTTTCAGCAGTTAAAACATGTGCTGGTTACAGAACCTCCTAAATGTAAGAAAGTCCAAAAGAGTTCTGTACCTGAAACTGAGGGATTAGGTTTAAGAGATTAGGAATTTCCCTGTGCTTTAGGAGAAAGCAAATAGCTCTAGGAGAAAGTGCAGGGGAATTACTTTCATAGTTCCTACTCTTCCTCAGGATTTCAAGGGCATGATGTACTTTGTACTGCACATCTCAAAGTTCCCATTAATGCTGGGCAGACCCAGCAAGACAAGGTTATATTGATGTGTGTTACCCCATGAATTTTGACCCCTCCAGTAAGTGTGAAACATAAAAAGAAAATAAAGAACTAAAAGAAAGGAGAAGAAGGAAAAGGAAAAAAGGTGGTGGAAAATGTTCTAAATAACACTAAATGATTAGTGCCAAAAGGTAAGCAGGTCAGAAAAAATAACTAACATGAAAATAATCAGAAATTAACTTACAGTTATAAATGTTGTTACTACAAAATACTAAACATTAACTTCTTTTTATCACTTAAACTTCCTTTAAAATTAGCTTACCAGAATCATAGCTTGGAGGCTTCATATCTCCCTGATTCAATTCTGTCCCATATTTCAACTTGTGGTATTTGGCTCTAACAAAGAAATGAGAAAATACAAACCATCTTAAAACATATTTAAATGAACTTTAAGATATGTAATAGGAGTAGTCATCAGTATGCAGTAGTCCTGGCTAAATACTCCTAGAACGTTCAAAGGCTCAGAGCCTTTCCATAGTTTCAAAGTCGTTATACAAAAGCACTTGCCTTTTTCTGTTGTTATACCACCAAACGTCATTATAACAAAATAATGGAATAACACTGGGAATCATGAATCTTTCTGTAATTACAAATGAACCATATACAGTTTAGTTTCTGTAATATTCAAATTTTCTGGATGATTGGCAGAATTGAACTCTACTATCAAAAGCAGTTAAAAATATTTGGATTGTGAAATAAACTTGTAAAAGATTAACCTTTCCCAAAAGTGAGCTTTTTAAAAAGAAAAGTCAGGCTGGTCAGTTAGCTCACTTGGGAGAGCAGGTGTTAACTCCACCAAGGTCAAGAGTTTGAATGCCCACATTCCCAAAAGTGAGCTTTTTAAAAAGAAAAGTCAGGCTGGTCAGTTAGCTCACTTGGGAGAGCAGGTGTTAACTCCACCAAGGTCAAGAGTTTGAATGCCCACACCAGCCAGCTGCCAACAAAAAGGGGGGGGGGGGGAGTCATCTATAATATTATGGGCTTTCTCAGGTAATTGTGTTTTGCCAAGTATGCATTATAGTGAGCAATCAAAGGGGAGAAAACCCTAGCCAAAATCATAAATGCTGAATAAGATAGTCCAGTAGAAATAAATAATATTTTTTTTTTACTAGTCAAGATATCCTTTGTCTTTTACTGTGAATGGGAAGACTATCTTCTATAAAAAGTTAACAGAATGTTATTATTTCTGGTTAATTGGACTTAACCATCTGATTTAAACATCTCAAATATAATCCAAGGAAGGTAAAAAATTTTTAAAAGGTTAACTAAAAGTGGCTATACCTATTTAATTATTTGTATATGTTAACATGTATGCTCCCCAAAATATTGAAATCATTTAAAATAAATATTCAATGGGTTATGACTGGGATAGTAACATAAACAACAGTAATTTGAAAAGCCAAAGTAATAAAGCAATAAAGAAAGAAAGAATGAGTAAAACAGCCAAATTTGAAGTCTGTTTTTTAATAAAATATAATTGAGCACTTACCATATAGTTTATCTATAATTCAAGAAAAGAATAAAGGAAATGAAAATTATTTGCTGAAATATGTAAAGTACTGGAATTCTTCATGATTATTTTGGAATAATAATCATTTTGCAGATACAACAGAAAAATCAAAGTTTTATATAGAGGAGAATCTTAAGACCTATGAAAATTACAGGTATCTGATGTCCTGTTTCTTAAGATGGGTACATGAGCATTTTTATATCAATCTTTATATGCTGTGTATATGTATGAAGTGTTTTGTAATAACATGTACCCACTAAAAAGGAAAAAGAATATTCATGTGTTAATGTGGATTGATATCTAAGCTTAAGCAAAAAAGCAAGGTACAAAATACTATGTACAGTACACCTCCACACGTTTTTTTTAAAAAAGATATATATATATTTCACATGCATAGAATATTTCTGGAAGAATACACGACACATAAAACATCGGTTAATAAGATTTCCTTGGGAAGGGAAATCAGTGAACTAAGGCAGAGGGAGACTACTTTTGTTGTTATTTGGTTAATTAACTATATGTGTATATATATATATTTTTAATTTTTGGTAAATATGCTTGGTCCAAATTATCTAGATTATCTTTTTCTTTACTCCCAATAAGTTTTTAACCACAAAAATTGCATCACCAGATTAAATGTTTCCTAATCCATTTCAATGTATTTGTAATAATATTATTAGAGGGTAAGATTTAAAGATATTAATTTGACTTACGGTTACCATAAAGTAAACAAAGTTCTTAATGTAACTGTCAATCTTCATATTTTCCAGAAACATACTTCATTTATCATAAGAAAAAATAAAAATACCTCGTAGAACATAACTGGCCTGAAAACAGCTAAACATAACTGGCCTGAGGCCAGATTATACTAAAGTTTTTAAATAAAAGTGGCAATAAAATTTTTATAGAGTTTATTTATACTTTTTATAAATATGTAAAAAAAGAAAACCATTTTCAAACAGAAAATACTGGGTTACAGTGCATTCTAGTGGTCTTAGGAACAATTGCAACAGAATTTACAAAAAAGGGAATAGAAAATATTCTACAAAATAAATGTAACCAAAATAACACAGTATGAACTAAAATTTCATTAAAAATTAGAAAAAGAGAAAATACATAAAAAACTGTTACGTTGGCTGGTGTGAAGGTGCAGCATTATCTCAGCTGATTGTTCATAATCAGTTACAGATAGAACTCCTTGTTCTACTCTTTTCCCCTTTCTCAGCACTGCACTTGACTACTCTTAAAAAAAAAACAAAACTGTTCTGTTTACACAAGCTATAGTCCCCTACTGAAAATCAGGATCTCCTAATTTTAAATTGGGATCTCCCTACTGAATTGTTAAACTCGTTAAAAAATATTTTACTCACAAAACCCTCCTCAAGCTTAATAACATTCCTTTTGAAGCCAATATGCTAAGACACCTTCTCACTCGCATTGTTTCCCATTGTTTTAACACTTCAACTAACTGTCATTAATCTTTCTTGTTCACTATTCTTTTTCTGATTCTGACCATAGGATAAATAAGCAGATCTCATGTCTAACAACTCCACATTTAACACGTAGCTAGGCCCCCCCATTGGCCTTTACTGGATAAAATAATATAAAAAGTACTTAATAATTACAATAAAAAAGTCTCATTCTAGCTTCATTTCAAAGCCTATGGTCATACATAATGTGCCAACAATATAATAACATAGGATCCTAATCACATCTTAAATATTGATGTGTTAACAATGAACTATTATTGAATTCTTGGTGAAGTGCCAGGCACTGTGCTGGCTGCTGGGAATAACCTGCAGCTTATAGTCAGGTAAGGGTGGAGGCAAGAGGATGCCTAAGGGACACGAATGTAAATAAATAAATATAGCACACTGTGATAAGAGCTATAAGGGTTACATCAAGTGTTACAGGAATGCAGACAAGGAATTACCTAATTCTGCCAAAGGTGGTGTCAAAGAAAGCTACTGAAAAGAAGGTAACACAAGAGATTTTCACTAAGCCTCAAAAAACCAGTAGGAGTTTCCAATCACACAAATGGATTGATAGAGAGGATATTTCTGTCAGAAGGAACATCATACAAGTGAAAAGAAAAATACACAGTAGATCAAAATACAGGAAATATCTATTTGTAGCTAAATGGTATGAAAGGAACAGAATTCAGAGAAGAGACTACAAAAGGGCCTAGCTGCAAAGGATTTTACTAAGAACCCTGAAACTAGCCAGATATTTTTAAGCAGGGACGGACTATGATTATCATATCTATGTTTTAGAAAATAAATACTATGGATATGGACAATGAATTAGAATATGGAAACCCAGTACTAGGGGCAAGGAAGACAGTTGGGTTATCACAGCAATTAGATAAAAGAAAAGTGGCAGTAAATGAAGAGAAATGGGGAAAATGGGAACAGTGCTTCAGAACTGTATTTTATATAGTATTCCTTCATCAGTATAAAACCTCCTGAATAAACCTCAAATCATATATTATGTACTCTGGAAAAACTGTATGTAAATTTGCTTATTTTGTAAATTCTATCACACTCCAAGGAATGCTTTGATACATACATTGCTAGATGAGTAAACCTTCTGTAATGTTCAAGATTCAGTTTTACTTAATTTTGGATCTTAAAGGAGGACTAATATAGAAAATCTGTAACACAACAATGCAAAAAAAACCATGATACTTACTTAGGTGCTTACAGGTGAAACGACAAGATGTCTGGAATTTGCTCTAAAATAGATCAAAGTGAAACAAGACTGACAAAGACATTAACTGTTAAAGCCTGGAGATGTATATAAAAAATAGGAGTGTCTCTACATTTGTGTTTCAAACTTTCCTCAATAAAAAAAATTGTTTTAAAATTCCTGACATTAAGGTGTTAGAAAAATGACTTCGGAATGAAAAGAACTGAAATGTCCTAGAGCTCCAAAAATTTTTTTAATTTATCATTAAGGTACAGAAAAAACCATTAATACATTAGAAAAATACATTCAGAGTGAAAAGAACTGAACTGTTTTAGAACTCAAAGACACAAATAAATGCTTTTTTATTCCTTAATTTATTATACTTAAATAGTGTAAATTAATCAGGAATAATCCCAAATCATTCCATAAACTTCAAAAGATACAAAATCAGGGACTCTTTTTCCAGGAGCGTCCCATTAGTTAAGGAAAATAAGAAAAAAAAAAAAAGATGTTCCCTAGACTTAGCCAATTCTTTCTCTCTTCTGTTTTTCAAAGCAAACTTCTTGAAAAATAAATGACTGCATCTGTCTCTACTTTATCCTTCTCACCCTTCAATCCCCTCTGGTCTGGCTTATGATCCTGCTACCTCACTGAAGCTACTCTGGCAAGGGTACCAACAAGCTCCCAACCAGCAAATCCAAAAGACTATTTTCAGTACACAACTTATTTGAAGTCCATTAGGCATCTGCAATTGTCAAACTCCCTCCTTCTTTAGCTTGCTCCCAAAATACTACTCTCTACTTCCTTCTCTATTCCTTTGTTGGCTCTTCTTCTGCCTTTTCTGCAAACAGTTCTATTTCCTGTGGCTCCTGTTAATTCTCTCCCCTCTTTCCATGATACTTGTCCTATCTCAATTACTCCTTTCACTTCCCCCACAACAATATTGATGATTCCCAAGTGTGTATCTCCAGTTATGAGTCCTTCTCCCATTTCTGCTCTTTAACCCTTGTTCTTTATATTTAATTCATTTGATAACTTCTAACACTGTAATTCATAATTCACAGTCCTTCAAACTAGAAACCTGGGAGTCATTCTTAAATCATCTTTCTCCCTCACCCTTTACGGCATCTCCAAACTTGTATTTCACCTTCAAATTTTATGGATTCTTTTTACTTAAAATGTTTTACTACTGATGCCTCTCTATTTCGGCAGCTACAATGTTATCATTTCTCATCTTAGACTATCACAGTCTTCTTGCCTGTATTAACAGATCCTTCCCTCTGTGGCCCCACACTGAAGTCAGAGTGATCCTTCTAAAATATGTTTCACACTAATCCATGCTTAAAACCCTTTCAATTGCAAAAAACTAAATGCAATATGTATTTCCTGATTGGATCCTAGACTGGATCCTGGACCAGGAAAAAAATGCTATTAAGATCATTATCAGAACATTTGAATATGGACTATATTAGATAATAGAATTATATCAACATTAAATTTCCTTAATTTGATTATATGCTGTGATTATATAAGGGAATGTCCTTACAGAATACATACACTGAAGAATTCAGAAGCAAACTGAGTAGCAAATGATTTAGGAAAATCATGTTTAGTGAGCAAGCATGATAAAGCAAACATGGCAAAATGTTGTTGATTGGTGAATCTGGGTAAGGGTATACAAAGAGTTCTTCAAACTCTTCTATTAGTACGAGATCGTTTTAGAATAAAACATTTTTAAAACCTTTCCACATTCCCAATTATGGGTAAGATAAAAGTTTGAGCTCTTTAGTTAGGCTCTCTATGATCTGACTCTTGCCCCTCCCAACCATCATCAGTCATCAAATCAAACTAACATCCTACTGTCCACACACAATGACTACAAATCTCTGAACACACCAAACTGCTTTGTTCCATGGCAAACATGTTCTCTGTTCTACTTGCTGTACCTTGTCTATCTGACAAGTACCTCCTTATTTTTATGATGCTGTTCAAGCCTCACCTTCTCGAATTTCCTTTCTACTTCCCTCCTTTCTACTTCCAACTCTCAGATTGTAAAAACCACTCCCATCTTGTGACCCCATGGTACCCTAAACTGAGTGGACACACACACACGCACGCACACACACACACACACAATCCCTGGTTACTTTAGGATTTGTTTATTTCAATTCTCCTGTTTTACAAGATGGGATAGTGTACTGGTGAAGAGCATAGGTTTCAGAACCAGACAGACTTGAGCAATCTGAATTACAGCTCTACTAAAGCTGTTACACAATGCAAATTACTTTGCTTTTAAGCCGCAGGGCTGGTACGTAATAGCTAGTCAATAAATAGTTGCCATTATTATTATTATTCTCTCTATCTGGTGAAGTCAACAATTTAGAAAGCTTAAAATCTCAAATATTCCCAAGTTAGGTACTTTAAAAAATGTTTTTCTTTCCATCTCCCCAATACAGCTTTCAATCAAACTCCAAGATATGAAAAGAAACACTTATTTTTCACTAAGAAGTCAGCTTGTTTTCAATCTCTTGTGCCATTTAAAGACCCTATATAAAGGTGAACACAATTTCAAATAAAGTTTTATCTACTTCTTGATACTCATAAATATCATCTGCTAAATGCTGTATTACAGTATTTTTGCAAACAGCCCATCCCCCAACTTCAAAAAACTGAGAAAAACTAGTGATCATAAAAACAAAGCAAAAAAGTAGCAAAACAGAGAATTCCAATATCATCTATCATGTACTCAATTATCCAAACAACGAACTGTCTCTGATTGCTAACAAAAAATCCCAAAAACCATCCCTTAAAGCAAATAAACTTAATTCATATTGACAACTTCCAAAACTCTCATTCATTCATGACCTCTTATCCTTTACTTGTGACCCAAATTTAGTTACTTGAGTATCTTAGACACTAGCAAAATAGAAAGGTAAGATTAGCTTCTAGAGAGACAGGAATAGCGGATAGCCTAGCAAAGGAATAAAATACCAAAAAAAGTCTATAAAAAGACTCTCAACATAACATAGTCTGCCAGAGCAATTTTCTTTTTAAGAAAATACATCAAATTGAACAATATTAGATGATAGGAAAAGGGAGTAAGCTTTATAGAAATTTCCTTTACAATTCTAAAACTATTTCAACTCTATGAAGAAATGAATATTTGTAATTCAGAAAGTACATGAGTTTCTAAAGAAAGAACAGGGTAAGGAAAAAACATTGCTAAAATTTTTTTACATCATATAAACTATTCATAATACAATAACGTATCACAACCATTCATAAAAATGCTTATTACAGACATTCCTGAATTCAAGAGCATACAGTATTAAAATTTGGATTTATCCTAGGAATGATGAAAAAAACTATTCCAACATTTAAGAGAACATGATCTTCCACTTTACTCAATTACCTACCTTTCCTGTTTAAGAGCATACTCCAACATTTTGATCCTCCTCACAAGATCCTTCTTCAAATTTTCTTGACCTTTCCTTTCTCCCTGAAGGAAGGCAATCTGAGCCTGAATAGGGGTGAGAAAGACAAAACTCAGTTTAGAATAAAAATTTTTTTAAAACTCAATTGAGGAAAGAATTTTGGAAGATAGGACCATTAGATGCAAAAACATTTCCTTTACATATCTATCACAAAGTATGTAAAAATATAGAAAAGCTTTGACTGTAAGGGGAAAAAGGCTTAATATACATCTTACTTATATCTGACTAGGGATGTCACAACTTATAGTCCATATCCTCTGAGTCTATAATCTAAAACAACCAACAGGAGGAAATGCGGAACATATGCATGGTGTATGGTATGGTTTGCTGGAGTGTCTATCTTTTATGCCATTGAGAGGGTTTATTTTTTATAAAGAGTGAAGGGTGAAAAGTAAAATAATGAGTTCTCATAATCCCACTGCAAATTAAGAGTTCTCAGAGATTCATCATATATTTAAATTTAATGAGGGATTCCTTGTATTGAGTGACTTCATCCTGGACCTCCCCTACAAACAAAAAATAGTCAATCTCCATCCTCCGTTCCACCTCCTTCTAGGAAATATAATATGCAGGAGATAAGAAAGTGAAAGTTGAAAAAAAGGAAAATCAGAGACAACAATATTCTACCCATTCCTGTCACATACACCCCCCAAAGAAATAGTAAAACCCTACATCTTAACATGAAACAAACCGTAAACAACTTTTATCTTCAGTAAAACAGAGAGGCTAGGAAAGAGGTGCGCTCCAGAAAAATTAAAAAGACATTTAGAATTGAAATAAAGTCTTCCACTAAATGAACTAAACCTATGCTGCAAACACTGACTTGTTGAAGTAACTCATAACATCTCTGAAATTTAGGTAGAAGCTCTATTTAAGGGCCCCAAGGATAGCTATCAGTTTCACTATTCTTTCATGCTCCTCCCTACCATTTCTACTATATTAACCCACTAAAACAGATAACAATGTTATTTATACATCCACAGTGCTTTCCACTTAAGCAAAAACTTTACATTTAAGGATGAGCTCATCACATCCCTAAGAAATTGTGAGGACTGTCCAACTAAGGTTTAACAAGTGAGCCATTCAACTTAATTCTACTTGTACCAAACTTCATAACCTTCAAGATGTAGGTACTGGTACTTTTATTTTTTTTCCTATTTCAATGAGTTCTTAAAATTTACATTACAAAAGAAAGATTATTTTTATCTTATTGAAATAATTAAAAGTAGTCTGAAAAGAACTCAATTGTATACACAGAGGAAAAGGCATCAGATATTTACGGTATCTAAACTCAATTATCAAGCCTTTGAAAATAGTATATTCTGCAATGAGATTAATTATTTTATCTAAGCAGAATAGTAATGATACATGTATTTAAAGCTGATAGAAATTAAAGTTTTGTCAAAAGGAAATGACAGTTCAATTTGTTTGACCAAAAAATGCTTTGGCACAGAATTTTATATTTTTTAAAATGGCTTTAATAAAAGTAATAACCCAATCAATACAATCAAACTAATAATAACATCAATTGTAAATTTCATCCTCTCTACTCTTTAGCTAGTTTTGTATTTCTGCCACCATCACTGGTCCTAAATGATTTTGAAACTTCAGCATGCCATACTCTAAAGGCTCTATTGTGACTCAGTCCCCAACCCACTAACTAGGTTCCCTATTTTCTCGGTACACTTGCTTCAACATCCTCCTGTAAACTCACATATTGGATTAGTCAAATATTTAATATAAGAAAAGCAAAGCCCAGAATTGTTAAAGAGAATGATTATAAAGAAGATGGGGGTGCCCAGAAAAAGCAAACAAAAAAGACTAATAGGAACATCTGTGATATTCCTTCATGCTTACAGAATACCTCTGTGATAGTCCTGCCAAAGATGCATAACCTGAAATCAATCATAAGGAAACATTAGGCAAACTCAAATCGAGGGACATATTAACTTTCTTATAATCTTCCAAAGTGTTAGTTCATGAAAGTCAAAGAAAAACCATTCCAGATAAAAGAAAACTAAAGAGACATGAAAACTAAATGTAATGCATGATTCTGAATGAAATTTTGCTATAAATGGACATTACTGGAACAACTGGCAAAACATGGAGTCTGAAGATTAGACAGTAGTAATGTATCAGTGTTGATTTCCTGATTTTGATGGCTATCTGAGATTATATAGGATAATACTTGTTTGTAGGATATAACACTGAAGTATTTGATGGCAAGCAATGGGACATCAGGTTGTCTGGCAACTAGCCCTTAAATGGCTCAGGAAAAAAATTTTATTTGTACTGCCCTTGCAACTTATTTGTCAGTTTAAGGTTTAATTTTTTTTTATTTTGAAATAAACACTACACTAACTTCCTTAGTACAAGAGATACAATCTCAACTCAAAAGTCAGCAGCATCATACCTAACAAGGAAACCCTAAAAGTACTGATAATAAAGTCAAGAGAAAAACAAGAATGTCCATTTCTCACCACAAATATTTATTAACATTGTGCGGGAGGTGCTGGCTAATGTAATGTAGACAAGAAAGTAACTATAAAAATAGAAAGAGGAAATATTATTTGCAAATGATATGAATGGATACCAGGAAAATCCAAGAAAATGGACTAAAAATTATTTACTAAAAACAGAGAAATTTTAATAAAGTAGCTGTGTACAAAATTTAAAATGGGCTTCTATAAAATCCATGGGCTTCCATAAAAACAACCAGTTAGATGATATAATGAAAGAAAGCATCCATCTTCTTAGTGTAGGTTAAAAAAAAAAAAAAAAGCAAGCAAGCAATCCTATTTATAGTAACAAAAATGATAAGATGACTAGAGTAAGCTTTATGAGAAAAAAATAAGAATTGTACTTTAAGATCCCCATGCTGGACAGTTGCCAAAAAAAAAAAGAGCTATACAAAAAAATTCTTAATGCTTTACTAAAGGGCACAAAAAATGACTTGAACAAATGACAAGAAATACCATGTTCTTAAATAAAAACACTCAGCATTACAATAACTTTACTTCTCCTTAAATTAATCTTTAAATATTATGCAAGCTCAATTAAAATACCAGCAGGGTTTGAACGAAGGTTTTAAAGTTCACATAGAAAAATAAATAAGCAAGAATAAACATACCACTGTTGGCCTGGTGAGTGAAGAAAAAAAAAAAAGATAAATTCTTTAAAAGCCTTAAATATTTTTAAAATATAATTCTACAGTTACTTAAAAAGTGGCACTGATGCATAAAGAGACAGAGCTATGGTACTGAACAATCCAAAAACAAATACGAATACATAAAGAAATTTGTATAAGCTAAACAGGGCACTGAATATCATCGGGGAAAATGTAGATTGTTCAGTAATTGATGATGGGCAACCATCTGGAAAATACTTCTCACATCAAAACAAATGCAAAATGGGTTAAAAAATTTTTAATGAACCCCAAAAGTATTAGAGGAAAAGGCAGGGTTTGTTTCTGTTTAATAACCTCGGGGTTGGGCCGGCCCGGTGGCGCACTGGATAGTGCGCCGCCTGAGAGGCGCGGCGGCGCTTCCGTCCGAGGGTTCGGATCCCACATACAGACCGGCTCCCGCTCACTGGCTGAGCGAGGCGCGGGAGCAACACCGAGGCTTGCGATCCCGTTGCCGGTCCCGGTCCGGTACGGGGGCAACACTGAGGGTTGCGATCCATTGCCGGACACGGAAAAAAGACAAAAGCCAAAAAAAAAAAAAAATAACCTCGGGGTTGGCAAGGCCTTTCTAACAATACGACATAATCCAAAACCATAAAAGACTCATAAATTTAACATCAAAAAATATATATATTTGTACTCAGAAATAAAAATGATGCTGAAAAACTATTATAAAAAAAAAAGACAATTCCTGACAAATGTCAAAACAAAATAGGAAAAGCAATAACATAATAAATCACAAAGGTTTGCTTTTTCTTAATACTTAATAAACAGTACCTCACAAATCAGTAAGAAAAGACCAAGAACTTGTTTTCAAAAAGAAAAACACAAAAAGGACATGCTGACAGAGGTTGAAACATATTGAAAAGATGTTCAACCTCAAGTGTAAAAGAAATGTCAATTAAAAGTGTAATCAGATTTCCTTCTTTCCATTAGACTGATAAAGTCTAGTAATCTAATAATACAATATGTTGGAAAACAGGCATTTGCATGTTATCTGTGGTGGTGTAAATCAGTTTCACTTTATAGTGGTCAACTGGCAATATATTAAATCTGTCAATGCTTATACCCTTTAACCGAGCAATTTTAGAATGTTATCCTTCAAACATTTGCACATATGTGAAATGACACACTAAAAAAACACAAAAATGTATGTACAACCCAAATGTCCATCTACAGGGGACTGATTAAATATAAGCACAATTAGAAGAAAATTAGGAACTAAACTAAGATCTATGAAAATAGAGAAGACTATGAGAATAATGTCAAACATAATTTTTTTTTCCTTTGGAAAACTTAGAAAGTCAGAAACAAAAAGTCTAAAAACACTTGTTCTTACAGAAGGAAGCTAGTTCCTTCTGGACAAACAACGTAACTCTAAAACATAGTAATTGGTATAAATCCTTAGCCTTTCAAAATAAAGATTAAATTCCAGCTAAAGATTCTCCAGATATGGCAGTGTACTACACTGTTGCCTGAACTGGATTATTTAACTGAAAAGGCAGGAGGAGGGTAGCAGACAGAAGGGAAGAAAAGACTAAAGAAGATGAAAGGAAGGGAAGGGGAAAAGGTGAAAAGAAAAGGAAAAAAGAAGGAAGATATGACAACCATTTGGTTTTCTTAAAAAAAGGTGTGTATATATATGTGTGTGTATATGTATACATCATTTTGCTTCTATGTAAAAGTAATATCTCTGGAATGATTCATAAGAATGTAGTAACTGTGAATGTTTCCAAAGGTAACTGGGAGACAGCGGAACAAGAATTAAACCTACCTTTACACACCCTCCCGCCGCCTTATACCTTTTGAATGCTGTACCATAGGCATGTTACTATGCTCTAG